TTCCCAACCCTAGGCCTGGGACGGTAAGGATCCTTCAAGTCTGCGTTTGGGCAAAAGAGAATTGATTTCCTGTTTCTGTGCCAGGTGGGGGTGAACAGATTTCCTTCCCTTGCCGATTTCATGCCAGAATTTGGCCCTACACTGTTTCTCTGGTGGTAGCCGAAAGTGCGGTCAAGTCGCAGCCGATTTAAGGCAAGAGACCGACAGAGGTGGGTTTGCCATTGTCTGCCCCTGCGTAGCAACCCTGGACTTCCTTGGTGGTCTCCCATCTGAGTATTAATCATACTTCGCTTCCGAGATCTGACAAGGTTGCGCTACCTTTTGTTGTTGTTGTTGTTGTTCAGTCACACAGTCGAGTCTGACTCTTCGCGACACCGTGGGCCACATCACGCCAGGCCCTCCTGTCTTCCGCCGTCCTCTGAAGTTGGCTCAATTTCATGTTTGTTGCCTCGATAACACTGTCTGACCATCTCATCCTTTGCCGTCCCCTTCTTCTTTGACCTTCAATCTTTCCCAGCATCAGGGTCTTCTCCAGGGAGTGCTCCCTTCTCATTGGGTGGCCAAAGTATTGGAGCTTCAGCTTCATAAGAACATAAGAACATAAGGGATGCCAATGTTAGATCAGGCCAAAGGCCCATCCAGTCCAACACTCTGTATCACACAGTGGCCAGAAATACCAGTGCCATCAGGAGGTCCACCAGGGGGGCCTTCCAGGGAACAGTCAGGGTTGATTTCTTTTAGGATTGACTGATATGATCTCCTTGCAGTCCAAGGGACTCTCGAGAGTCTTCTCCAGCACCATAGTTCAAAAGAATCTATTCTTCGGCACTCGGCCTTCCTTATAGTCCAACTCTCGCAGCCATACATGACTACTGGGAATACCATTGCTTTGACCATGTGGACTTTTGTTGGCAGGGTGATGTCTCTACTTTTATTATGCTGTCTAGGTTCGCCATCGCTTTCCTCCCAAGGAGCAGGCGTCTTTTAATTTCATGACTGCAGTCACCGTCTGCAGTGATCTTGGATCCTAGGAACGGGAAGTCTGTCACTGCTTCCACAACTTCTCCTTCTATTTGCCGAGGAGTGAGGGGGCCAGATGCCATGATCTTCATTTTTTTGATGTTGAGTTTCAAGCCAGTTTAGTGTTGAAGTGCGCAGACTCTAATCTGGGAGAACCGGGTTTGATTCCCCACTCCTCCACGTGCACCTGGCTGGATGACCTTGGGCAAGCCGTAGTTCTGATAAGAGCTGTTCTTGAAAAAGAGCCGTTTCTGTCAGAGCTCTCTCAGCCCCACCTACCTCACAGGGTGTCTGTTGTGGGAAGGGAAAGGAATTTGTAAGCCGCTCTGAGACTCCTTTGGGTAGTGAAAGGCGGGGTATAAATCCAATCTCTTCTTCTTCTTCTCATCTGGGAGAACCGGGTTTGATTCCCCACTCCTCCACGTGCACCTGGCTGGATGACCTTGGGCAAGCCGTAGTTCTGATAAGAGCTGTTCTTGAAAAAGAGCCGTTTCTGTCAGAGCTCTCTCAGCCCCATCGACCTCACAGGGAGTCTGTTGTGGGGAGGGGAAGGGAAAGGAGTTTGTGAGCCGCTCTGAGACACCTTTGGGCAGTGAAGGGCGGGGTATAAATCCAATCTTCTTCTTCTTCTGATTCTGGCCTGCGGACAGGGGTGGCCAAACTGCAGTTCGTGAGCCGCATGTGGCTCTTTCACACAGTCTTAATTGAATGTTAATAAAAAGCAAATGTGTATATTTTCCAATAAAATCATGTATGTGATATGTTTGTGTCTTGCGGCTCTGAAAGATCCGACGTTTATTCTGTTTGGCTCTTGCGTGAGCCAGTTTGGCCACCCCGGCTCCATGACCTTTTCCGTCAAGACCTTGGCCAGGTCCATAATTTAGGGTTAGCTCAAAATGATGGTTACAGTTACTGAATAATCCAGGAAACAATCCACGACAAAGAAAAACTGTATAGTGATTGCGCTGAAGAAGTTTTAAATAGCAGTTGTATAATCATAATACAAAAAGTGACTACAAAATAGAATAAACCATGTAACAATGTGATGGAGTTGTTAACGATGATCTCCGGAATATTCCACCGTTTCGACAAGTTGCTTCTTCCGAACAAAGATGAAGAAAGACGAAGAGCATTCCACTGCATTTTGCCCACTGAGAACTACTGTAAACTCTTGTTCCAATAATGTCATTGTAAAGGTAAAGGTTCCCTTGCTCGAAAGCCAGTCGAGTCTGACTCTAGGGTTGCGGTGCTCATCTCCGTTTCAAAGCCGAAGAGCCAGCGCTGTCCGAAAACATTTCTGTGGTCATGTGGCCGGCATGACTAAACACCAAGGCGCACGGAACGCTGTTCCCTTCCCACCGAAGTGGTACCTATTTAAAGGTAAAGGTTCCCTTGCTCGAAAGCCAGTCGAGTCCGACTCTAGGGTTGCGGTGCTCATCTCTGTTTCAAAGCCGAAGAGCCGGCGCTGTCCGAAGACATTTCTGTGGTCATGTGGCCGGCATGACTAAACACCAAGGCGCACGGAATGCTGTTCCCTTCCCACCGAAGTGGTACCTATTTATCTACTTGCAATGTCTTGCTTTCGAACTGCTAGGTTGGCAGGAGCTGGAACTAGAGATGGGAGCTCACTCCGTCATGCGGCACCTGGGTCTCAAACTGCTGAACTACCGACCTTCCACAGCCTGCAGTTCAGCGTATTAACCACTTGAGCCACCGCAGCTCAGGGCCGTAGCTAAAGCCCTCCTAGTGAGGGGGCCCTGGGGAAAGGGGGGGGCTGGAGTGTGTGTGTGTGCGCGCGCGCCGCACACACATCACTGGGAGTGGCGTGATGCCCTCCCCCCCCTTCTCTGGCCCTGACTATCAGGGTCCCGGCTCCGGTCACAGCCCTTCCTGCCTTGGCGGCGGCCAGCATGTCGCTCCAGAACAAACTCGTTTTAAGCAGCAGCCCAATCACAACTCGCTCGCTCACAACTTTAATGCCAGCCACTCACAAAGTGGAATTTTGGCTC